AGTGACTTGATAAATATACAGCACCTCTCCTGAAACTCTACAGAAAAGAAGGGATTCAATGGGTCCAGAGATGGATACAACTTTAAACAAGATGGATGAGCAGGTACTCATTAAGATTTTTTTTTTCTTATACACCCGTCTGATGTTTTTAACATGTGCAACATATTTTGTCCTGTCAAGAATTTCATGCTCAGGTAATACAGTCTAATAAAGTGTAATTGCAACAATTTAATTGTCCAGCCCTTTTGCATTAATTTTAATTGTGTCAAGTTGTGTTTTGATTTTGAGATGGAAGTAAGATAAATAACAGATGTTTCACTTGTTTTGAGTGACCATTTCAAATGAATACATTCAAAGAGGAAAATAGAAAATAATAGCTGTAGTTTTTAACTCAAAGTAATTGTCACATGAAACTAAACATTTTTTTTTAAATTATTATTATAATTATTTTTAAAAATAAAGCCATGTGTTTTTTCAACAGCATGAATAAAATACTATGCTCATTTAAATGTACTAAGTACATTTTTACTTACAAAACAATAAGATTGTAAAACACCCTTTGTAAATGACTTTCCTTTAGGTCACTGATATTGTCACCGATCCAGAAAGAGCAGCTCTTGAGGGATTGCCAATTCTTCTTCGTAAAAATTCTGCTTGCTTTCTCAAGATATGTCTGGTAAGTTACCCATTTTCATACCCTATTCTACATTTATTAGTCTGCTTGGTAACACTTTTAATAGCTGCACGCTATAAATAATTTATTTAGTATTAGCGAATAGTTAATTTATTTTCTGTTAAGCATAACTCTACATGAAGTGCTCAATGATTGTATTTTTTTAACTTTAATGATTCATTTGTATTACTAATTTAAGTATTGCATTATTTACAAACCAGTTATTTAAGAATAGTTGGTGTTTTTAAGATCATTCAGAATGCTTAAGTACACGATTAATAAACTATTCAAATTAACATTTAAATATCCTAATATTAAGGTATGTAATAATAGTTACTTTGTATGTTAGTATATGCTTTATGAGCTTAACTTCATCCAGTTGTGACCTAATCTAAAGTGAGGACTATTTATGCTTTATAAATCCCTTATGAATGACAATTAAAGGCTCAGTTATATTCTAAACAGGACAATAAACAACTTTCACAATTGAAACTGTATCAAATAAAAGTAAATCTTTGCAATTTTATGTAAAATAAAAGTTTAAAAAATTGCTAAATATTAAAAAGTTGTCAATATATTGTTCAATTATTATATATTATAGACTGTTCAAAGTGTTACTGTTTGTATGTACGAAAGTATTACATGTTTTTATTTTCTTTGCATAATAGTAATAACATTAATAAGTAGTAATTAATATTACACATCAATTAATTTTCCCATTACTTAATCTCCTATAAGGACAAGGACCCTGAAGACCACAGCACCAGAGATTAAAGGATTGGAATCTTCACTGTGGTGGAAGATGATAATGGCACTTCTGCATCCCTGCAATATGTGATGAACCTCGCTAAAATCTTGGAGGAGGCCATAGTACTTCAGGATATCACACATCTGCCTGCAGCCTTCGCTTACTTGTTCAGCCTCTTGTATAGACTGAATATGGAACACCCAAAAGAACTCAGATATACTTTTTAAGTGATTCAGCATGTTTTATGGAGGTTGGTGGCACATGATCTGCGAGAGTTCAGTTCATTCATTCATTCATTTTCTTTTCGGCTTAGTCCCTTTATTAATCTGGGGTCGCCACAGCGCAATGAACTTGTTTTACGCAGCGTATGCCCTTCCGGCTGCAACCCATCTCTGGAAAACATCCATACACACTCATTCACACATACACTACGGACAATTTTAGCCTACCCAATTCACCTGTGCCACACGTCTTTGGACTGTGGGGGAAACCGGAGAACCCAAAGGAAACCCACGTGAACGCAGGGAGAACATTCAAACTCCACACAGTAACGGCAACTGACCCGTGACCACTTCCTAATGTGCCACTGTTTCAATGTTTTGAGGTCTGTTTTTGGACTTTATGTACTTTGTTGACAAAAGTGCAGTACACTTTAAAGACTGTATGAATGGAGTGGCTTTTAGGGTTTACTCTGATTAGATGATTGTATATTCACCTGGTTTGAGTGTTTAGACACACTAATAGCTTGGTTTTAGTAAGGTTGCCAGTTATTTTATGTTGAGGCAGTGTACAATCTTTTCAAATCTGGAAACAGTCAGTACTAGTTGTGTACAAACTAGCCCAATGCTGAACACGGCTAATGTCAAATGCTGATTTTGTATGCAAATGTTTTGGATTGTGATTTGAACACAGTTAAAAATAAAAAAAAGTGAATTGACTATTCTTGTGTATTTAATTTGAATCCTAAAAATTAATAGTAAATGCATAATGAATCAGTTTGTTTTATTTTGTTCAGTAAACTAAAAAAATCTTGTTGGGTAAACAATCATTTTTGTTCAGTAAACAAAAGATCTTGTTGAATAAACGTGAAAATTTTTGTTCAGCAAACAAAAGATCTTGTTGAGTAAACATGATAATATTTGTTCAGCAAACAAAAATATCTTGTTGGGTGAACATGACATTTTTTGTTCAGCAAACAAAAATATCCTGTTGGTTGAACATGATATTTTTTGTTCAGCAAACAAAAATGTCTTGTTGGGTGAACATGACATTTTTTGTTCAGCAAACAAAAATATCCTGTTGGGTGAACATGACATTTTTTGTTCAGCAAACAAAAATATCCTGTTGGTTGAACATGATATTTTTTGTTCAGCAAACAAAAATGTCTTGTTGGGTGAACATGATACTTCTTGTTCAGAGAACTAAAGAATTCAACAAAATATTTTGAGTTCACTGGTCTTTAAACCCTGTTTGTTGAGTTAACTCAAAAAGCTATGTGTGATAGGTTGCCTAATTATTTTAAGTTTACTCAACTTTTTTTTTTTACAGTGAAGTTATTTAAATTATATTTACACTCTAAAACCTGAAACCTTTATGAATGTTTGTTTTCAGGCCTGAGAAGAGTCACTGCTGTAAATGAACGGTCAAGAAGGATGAAATCTCTTCTGTTGTATTTGCAGCTGCTGATGTGGACGCTAAAAGTGTAGTAATGTGAAGGCACAGTGATAGTGGATCAGAGTTCAGACACCTACAGTAGACGGAGCAGAAAAACAGCATTTTCTCAGTGCTATCAGGACTGCTTATCACATCCCGTTTTGTGTTCAGTTCAAGGGTGTTTGATGCACTTTGTATTGCATTGAATGTACTTTCAGAGAACAGGACAACCCTTATGAGAAAAATGTACACTTTAAGTGCACAATGAAGTCTATATTTAAGCATACTTCACTTAGTATGCTAAACTGTAGGTGTGCTACTTGAATACCAATTGGGACTATTTTGGCTCTCTTCAGTTGCTAATTCTGTATTGCAAGTGAACTTATAAGCAGGCCAACGTGGAATCTGCACGCTCAGATAGTTTATCACTTGTGCAAAATGTATATTTATTCAGTTTTTAAATTAATTTCATGAATATTATTGACTAAATATGAAAATGTTAATTGGGTTTATTTGCATTACAGTTTGTAGAGTAATATTTTCAGTCTTTTAGTAGATGTATTATATGAGAGACTTGCTTTGTTTTTCAATTAAGTGGATCTAATTGGATTTACATTGTAAATGTCATGATCACCAGCGATCTAAACTCTATAGATCGCTGGAATACACTCACAATCACTTATGGACTACAAATCCACCATGTTATGGACTACGTTTTCATGCACTCCGCTCACACACACATGTTCCTCATTCTGACTGATTACACACGCACCTCTGAAGGATTGTCAAGGACTGATTACACACTATTTGAGCAATACACACACACACTCCAGTCGCTGAGTCTTGTTTGCTTTCAGTGACATTACAATGCGTTTTCTTTGTCTTGTTTTTCCGTGTTTTGACCCTCGCCTAGTTTTTCTTTTTGTCCCTTTCTGCCGCCTGCCTTCCGACTTCTCGCCTGTTATTGTAAGTATGACTCTGGATTGCCTTCACGCATCGGTTTGCACCCGCGTTGACCATTGCTTGCCTGACTGCCTCAATAAACCTGCATGTTAAACAGCGTGGCGGAAAACGTCAAAACAACTCTTGCGCCAGGTTGAAACTAGCAAACAACAATTGCATCTCGCCTTGCGCCACATTGCGCCGGGTGTATGATAGGGCCCTAATGGTGTGCACAAGGAAAATAATAAACCATTATGATAGAGTTAAACTTAAAATAAATAAAATATTGAATAAAATTAAATCAAACGTTTTATTGAGATTATTGTTGGTGACTGTATGAGAGGGGTCTGGCTGCAGACCTGGTGCAGTGCAATCTGGGCTGCATCCAATGCTTTTTAATGGGCTCACCTAACCCCACCCCTAACCCAACCCGTCACGGTGACGTCACTTGCTCCATTTAAGTGCATTGTGTCTGACATTGCATCGCTGAGTGATGCAGTCTCAGCTTGCACCATAAAGGCTGCATCCAGATACTACTGGACTGTATGGGTTTAGGTCAGATTTGGTAGCAATACATGAACAAATAAAAAATAAGACCTGTTAATAAAAGATTTAAGACCTACAACACAATATTTCAGTAAATTTAAGACTTTTTAAGGCGTAAAATTTGGATTTTGAGATTTAAGACATTAAGACTTGTTTAGACCCTGCAGAGACCCTGTATGAAAGCATATTTTGCAGTGTGTTATTGGCAAGAAATCTCCTGTGTGTGTGTGTTTTTTCAGTATGAGGTGTTTTCTCTTTTAGTGATTTGGTCATTCAGGCAGAATGTTCATCACTCCACGTCACTCCCAAATGCAGCTCTCCTGTGAAATGTAGCTGCTAGCTGTTATCTGGAGCTCTCACTGACTCATCGCACTGTTATAGATTAGTCGGACAGACACCCATGCAATAAACATTTATAACAGTAAAAGCGCTGCTCACGTAGTAAACGGGAGTTTTCTCTCTGTCCAGCAGTCCGTTGATCTTGACTTTTCCGTCGGTGCTGCCGACAGTGAACAGGTCTCTGGGTGGCTGGTCGGCTCCGGCGCCTTTCAGGGAATATCGGATACTGGTCCTGGTCTCCTCATCTGAACGGATCTGAAAATAAAGACATTCATTTTCATACTGTAGTTTCAGACGCTTTAAAAAGGAGTGTCTGCTGGCACACATAGACACAGACTCACACACAAACACTCACATACAGATGCAGGCGCGCACACACACAATTATATACAGTATAAGATCATTTAAATGCATCCAAACACACACACACATTTTTTAAACCTATCAAACTGAGTTTTTATTATTCGTAATTGTGCTAGAGAGTTTTTATTTTTAGAGTTTAATTAATAAATTACATTAATCAAAAAAATTTACTTATAATTCCACAAATTACCTCCACATTTATTATTGGTTAAGTTAAGGTTAAAGTTTATTTTTATTTATTTTAATAAATAATTTTTTATTTATATTTATTTTTTATTTATTTATTTTTATTATTTTATTTTTTATTTATATTTATTTTATTTATTGTTTATTTTAAAGGTTAAAGTTAAGGTTAAAGCACTTTTTTTTAAATGACACGTGTTTTTCAACATCCTAAGGAAGAATATCAATAGCAACATAATTAATTCAACAACACAAAAAGGAAAATAAGGAACAATACGGAAGTTCTATATGGTGTTTTATTAATTTTTATCTTCCTCACTTTTCCTTCGGCTTAGTCCCTGATTTTTTAGTGGTCGCCACAGAGGAATGAATCGCCTATTTTTATTTATTTTCATTTATTATTTTTTCATTTATTAATTTTCCTTCGGCTTAGTCCCCTATATATCAAGGGTCGCCACAGCAGAATGAACCGCCAACTTATCCAGCATATGTTTCAAACAGCGGATGCCCTTCCAGTCGCAACCCAACACTGGACAACACCCATACACTCCTGCACACACTCATACACTACGGCCAATTTAGCTGATTTAGTTCACCTGTACTGCATGTGTTTGGACTGTGGGGGAAACCGGAGCACTCAGAGGAAACCCACGCAAACACGAGGAGAACATGCAAACTCCACACAGAAATGCCAACTGACCCAGCCGAGGCTCGAACCAGCGACCTTCCTGCTGTGAGGTGATCGTGCTACCCACTATGCCACAATAAACTTGGCTTAGTCCCTGATTTTTCAGTGGTCACCACAGAAGAATGAATCGCCAATTATTATATTATTTTCATTTATTATTTGTTCATTCATTCACTCATTTTTCTTTGGCTTAGTCCCTTATTTATCAGGGGTCACCACAGCAGAATGGACCGCCAATTTTTATTTAATTTTCACTTAAAACTTTTTCATTCATTCATTCATTTTCCTTCGGCTTAGTCCCTTATTTATTATTATTTTTATGCATTTATTTATTAATTTTATTACTTGTTAAAATGATTATTACTATGAAGACCTTACCTTTGCTATATAGTCCAAGTACATATAATTGACATTTTCCCTCAGTTTGCGTGGAGGAATAATCCATTCTCTCTTCTGTCTGACTTTCTTCTGTTGTTCTCCAGACGCTGAAGCATTCAGTATCTGCACAAACACACAAGCACATGCGTCTGTTTCACCCCAAAATAAGGTGTTGACCTTTAGAGACCTCAAGCAGTGAAACAGGTGTAATTAAATAATATCTCATATATATATATATATATATATATATATATATATATATATATATATATATATATATATAATTTTCAGAATTACATCTTATAAAAGGAAATGTTGCACTAGGGCTGCACAATATATCGTTTCAGCATTGATATCGCAATGTGATCAGTTGCAATAGTCGCAAGATATGGAATGTTGACTTTGTATTAGAATGAATAGTTTGAGTCCTGTAATTGTGTAATGATTTTATAAGCATTCAGGGATAAGAAATTGTAACATTTGTGACTAATTTTCTTGAATTATGTCTATTTTTTATTATGCAGCTGAATACTATTAGACTTGGAAAACGATAAAACTCTGTTTATTTCAATTGTGTCTTCTTCTTTATTGTATTTATAGATTGCTTATTAGATTTGATGGAGATGCACTTCTATGGTAGAATCATTCTAATTAATCCAACATTATAAACTCTTTCCAGATATTAGAGATACTAAAGTCATCTGGTGAAATTGTATTCATATCGCAATATACAGTTGAAGTCAAAATTATTAGTCCCCCTTTGAATAGTTTTTTCTTTTTAAAATATTTCCCAAATTATGTTTAGCAGAGCAAGGAAATGTTCACAGTATGTCTGATAATATTTTTTCTTCTGGAGAAAGTCTTATTTGTTTTATTTCGGCTAGAATAAAAGCAGTTTTTAATTTTTTAAACAACATTTTAAAGACAAAATTATTAGCCCCTTTAAGCTTTTTTTTTTTTCGATATTCTACAGAACAAACCATCATTATACAATAACTTGCCTAATCACCCCAACCTAACTAGTTACCCTAATTAACCTAGTTAAGCCTTTAAGTGTCACTTTAAGAATATCTAGTCTAATTATATTTACTGTCATCATGACAAAGATCAAATAAATCCGTGATTACAGATTAGTTATTAAAACTTACGTTTAGAAATGTTTTGAAGAAACCCTCTCTCTGTTAAACAGAATTTAAGCAAAAAAATAAACGGGGGCGAATAATTCTGACTTCAACTGTATATCACAGGATAAAAATATGTCACGATGCTACATTTTTACAGTATCGTGCAGCCCTATGTTGTGCACACACACACATAAAAATACTCTGCTCAGGTGTTGTTGATATCAGGATAACACTTGTTGCCTCGTTGTTAACTAGTATTCTAATTTAATATAATAATAATAAAATAAAAGTCCCCCACAACTTCACACAAATCTCCAGCATGTAAAACAATATTTTTAAGCTGACCAGCCTTTTGTTTTGTCTTCCTCAGACTCTGATTCACACCCTGAGCAGGATTACGAAGCTTCCTTTGGAAAAATACAATAATTTATCAAATCTCAATGTAAAAAAATTGACTGTAAGTGAGACAAACACCCTGTATTTGCAGCTGAAATCACTTCTTGTCTAAACATACACAGTTTGTTAATGAGAAACTGTCCTTCAGTGACCATCACACAAGTGTGTAAAGAATGACCACCAGAGAGCAAACACACACACACACACACGCACCAACACACACACACACACAGTTATCTATGTATACTAACAAAAATCAGTACTTTACACACATGTATACCCATAACTAGTTGGCTAACGTTAAATATTAATATTAGCATGCTAATGACGATTGTAGAAAGAAAAAAAACGCTAAATCAGTGAAATGAAACTTTCAGGATAAGTAGCTGGAGTAGATTAGGAGATGATATAGGCGGTGTAAACACAGATGTTTTCGCTTACCGACAGACTCAGAACTACAAGGAGTGAAATGCTGCATATCTTCGCCATTCTCCTGCCGTTACTCGCGGAACTTTGACACGGACTGACTAGCGGTCGGTCAGCAACGGCAGCGGCGACGGTGGGCGGGGCTGCATCGCCGAAGAATGCCGAGTATGTGTTCGGTAAAGGGGAGGCCACGCCCATTGCGCACTCAGCATATGATAAGGTAATCTGTGTAGTATTTACTCCTGTCACTGTTCAGAGGAAGACTTCTTCAGTCTGCAATCTTTATCTGTCTCCTTACACTGCACTGCAAAAATGCTTTTCTGACTTTTCTGATTTTTTTGTTGTTTCTAGTCCAAATATCTAACAATGATTTAATCAAGAAGCATTTTTTACACAAGCATAAGGTCACGCCCATGCTGTCAACACATGATATGATTGTCTGTGTGAAGCTTTCACTGCTCATAATATAAAAAAACCTTTTCCCTATATATATATATATATATATATATATATATATATATATATATATATATATATATATATATATATATAATTTATTTACAATACAATCATTTATTTATAATAATTATTACTATTATATGTATATATAGTTTTCATAATTTGTTATTTGCCCTTTATTATATGTAATAAAGGGGTTATAACACAATTTGAAAAAAAAAAGTTTTTTTTTTTGTATGTAAGCAAATGTAATATAATATAATTGGGTACCCCTCCACTACATATACACTCACTGGCCACTTTATAAGGTACACCTTACTAGTACCGGGTTGGGTGCCCTTTTGCCTTAATCCTTGGTGGCATAGATTCAACAAGCTACTGAAAATATTCCTCAGAGATGTTGCTCCATATTGACATGATAGCATCACACAGTTGCTGCAGATTTGTCGGCTGCACATCCATGATGCCAATCTCCCGTTCCACCACATCCCAAAGCTGCTCTATTGGGTTGAGATCTGGTCACTGTAGAGGCCATTTGAGAACTGTGAACTCATTGTCATGTTCCAGAAACCAGTCTGAGATGATTGAGCTTTATGACATGCTGCGTTATCCTGCTGGAAGTAGCCATCAGAAGATGGAGACACTGTGCTCATAAAGGGATGGACATGGTCAGCAGCAATACTCAGGTAGGCTGTGGCGTTGATGCTCAGTTGGTACTAATGGACCCAAAGAAAATCTCCCCCACACCATTACACCACCACCACCAGCCTGAACCGCTGATACAAGGCAGGATGGATCCATGATTTGATGTTGTTGAGGCCAAATTCTGACCCGAGCATCCGAATGTGTCAGCAGAAATGGAGACTCATCAGAGCAGCAACGTTTCTTCAATCTTCTATTGTCCAGTTTTGGTGAGTCTGTGTGAATTGTAGCCTCAGTTTCCTGTTCTTAGCTGACAGGAGCGGCACCCAGTGTGCTCTTCTGCTGCTGTAGCCCATCCGCCTCAAGGTTGGACGTGTTGTGTGTTCAGAGATGCTCTTCTGCAGAGCTCGGTTGTAACGAGTGCTTATTTGAGTTACTGTTGCCTTTCTATCAGCTGGAACCAGTCTGGCCATTCTCCTCTGACCTCCGGCATCAACAAGGCATTTGCGCCCACAGAACTGCCGCTCACTGGATATTTCCTCTTTGCCGGAGCATTCTCTGTAAACCCTAGAGATGGTTGTGCGTGAAAATCCCAGTAGACCAGTTGTTTCTATATCTGTCTGTATCTTTCAGAAATAATGACAAATGATGCAAGTTTTCACCTAAATCAAGCTAAATAAATTGCCAATAAGCGAACTAATCAAATGTTAAAACGAAAAACAAGATCTTTTTAGCTTGTTTTAAGGAAAAACTCACTTCATTTTGGCATATTATATCTGAAAACAAATCCATATTGTTTGCTTGTCTAGAAAATGCTTCTTGGTCAAAAAATCTTCAGATGTTTGGGCTAAAAACAAGACAAAAACTAAGTAAGGAAAGCATTTTTGCAGTGTATGCATGCAACACACAAATACTTGGCACATACAATAAATAATTTACCTCACCTCTCTGCCATACAGATATTTCAATAATGCTTATATTAATTAACACTTCAATTAATTGCAATAATGATAATTGTTCAATATTTTGCACAGCACAGTTAAAAAGTAAATGTTTTTATTGAATAATGATGTATCTGGATAAATGAGTAAGTCATAGTATTAGTAACCCTGCCATTTTAGCGTGACTTCCAAAGAAAAACACTAGAGAAACACACATTATTAGACTCTCAGAAGTCTCTCAATAAAACTCCATGTGTCTTTTTTTCTCCTCAAACACCAAGTTAATAATTGACTTCAATCCGCTATAAAGATAAGAGATCCGGAGGCTTATATAATAGCAGCACTGTCTCCATCACACCTTGACACTGAAATCGTGTGTACTTACAATTGATCACATGTGTGCTTCGGATTCAATGCTAAACCCTCATTGAGCAGTGCTCGGGAAATGTGTGGGATTCATGAGAATGAAACAGATTGCACGGAGTATCATAATGATAAGACAATGTCATGAAGATCTGTGGAAATGTGAAGATGAACACTCAGCTGGAGGATTTTGACCTTCTGAACTTCCTCATCTGTAGTGCGACTGTACTGAGTCAATGCTCTCGGTCTACACCCATTCACTCCTATCTGTGAATATCAGATTTATTACACACTGTCAGGCTTATAAAAGCTGGTAGTTGCGTATTAAAGAAAGAACAACGCAGCCTCTATTGATTTTATTTGTTTTATTTGCTATGCAGGTCACTAAAATATTTAGGACATAAAATCTGTCATTTCTCCCCATCAGGGCATATAAAACTTGAACAACATGGCAAAAAAGTTTGTCTTACGTAAAGTTTTTCTCTTGTTTCTATAGTCCAAACGTCTACAAAATCTTAAAGCATTTTTTTATATAAAAAAATATCAGAATTAATTAATTAAAATTAAGAGAGTTTTTTTCTTAAAACAAGCTAAATTAATGGGGTAAACAAAGTAATATTATTTCGAAATGAAATCAAGGTTATTTGACTTGTTTTAAGGCAAAACTCCCTTATTTTTTACTCTTATTCTGAAAATATCAGATTTATTACCCCCCCCCTCCAAGTCCAAATGTCTAAAAATTCTTGAAACATTTTAGCAAGTAAAATATTGTCTTGTTTTCAGAAATAATAAGTCAAAATTAAGTTTTTTTTCATAAACAAGCTAAATTAGTGGGGTAAATAAAATCATATTATTTCAAAGTGAAAATAAAATTATTTGACTTGATTTAAGAAAAAACTCACTCATTTCAGACAATTTTTTCCAGAAATGATCAGATTTATAACACTTTGTCAGGCTGACAAAAGCTGGTAGTTGAGTATTATAGAAAGAACGACGCTGTCTCTATTGATTTTATTTGCTATGCAGGTCACTAAAATATTTAGTCATAAAAGCGGTCATTTTCTCCCCATCAGGGCATATAAAACTTGAACAACATTGCAAACAGGTTTGTCTTACGTAGAGTTTTTCTCTTGTTTCTATAGTCCAAACGTCTACAAAATCTTAAAGCATTTTTTTATATCAGAAAATATCAGAATTAATTAATTAAAATTAAGAGAGTTTTTTCTTAAAACAAGCTAAATTAATGTGGTAAATAAAGTAATATTATTTCAAAATTAAATCAAGGTTATTTGACTTGTTTTAAGGCAAAACTCCCTTATTTTTGACTCTTATTCTGAAAATATCAGATTTATTACCCCCCCCCTCCAAGTCCAAATGTCTAAAAATTCTTGAAACATTTTAGCAAGTAAAATATTGTCTTGTTTTCAGAAATAATAAGTCAAAATTAAGTTTTTTTTCATAAACAAGCTAAATTACTGGGGTAAATAAAATCATATTATTTCAAAGTGAAAATAAAATTATTTGACTTGATTTAAGAAAAAACTCACTCATTTCAGACAATTTTTTTCAGAAATTATCAGATTTATTACACCCTGTCAGGCTGACAAAAGCTGGTAGTTGAGTATTGTAGAAAGAACGACGCTGTCTCTATTGATTTTATTTGCTATGCAGGTCACTAAAATATTTAGTCATAAAAGCGGTCATTTTCTCCCCATCAGGGCATATAAAACTTGAACAACATTGCAAACAGGTTTGTCTTACGTAGAGTTTTTCTCTTGTTTCTATAGTCCAAACGTCTACAAAATCTTAAAGCATTTTTTTATATCAGAAAATATCAGAATTAATTAATTAAAATTAAGAGAGTTTTTTCTTAAAACAAGCTAAATTAATGGGGTAAATAAAGTAATATTATTTCAAAATTAAATCAAGGTTATTTGACTTGTTTTAAGGCAAAACTCCCTTATTTTTGACTCTTATTCTGAAAATATCAGATTTATTACCCCCCCCCCCTCCAAGTCCAAATGTCTAAATTCTTGAAAGATTTTAGCAAGTAAAATATTGTCTTGTTTTCAGAAATAATAAGTCAAAATTAAGTTTTTTTTTCTCATAAAACAAGCTAAATTAGTGGGGTAAATAAAATCATATTATTTCAAAATGTAAATAAAATTATTTGACTTGATTTAAGAAAAAACTCACTCATTTCAGACAATTTTTTCCAGAAATGATCAGATTTATAACACTTTGTCAGGCTTAAAAAAGCTGGTAGTTGAGTATTATAGAAAAAATGACGCTGTCTCTATTGATTTTATTTGCTATGCAGGTCACTAAAATATTTAGGACATAAAATCTGTCATTTCCCCCATCAGGGCATATAAAACTTGAACAACATTGCTAACAGGTTTGTCTAACGTAGAGTTTTTCTCTTGTTTCTATAGTCCAAACGTCTACAAAATCTTAAAGCATTTTTTTATATCAGAAAATATCAGAATTAATAAATTAAAATTAAGAGAGTTTTTTTTTCTTAAAACAAGCTAAATTAATGGGGTAAACAAAGTAATATTATTTCAAAATGAAATCAAGGTTATTTGACTTGTTTTAAGAGAAATTTCCCATTTTAAGTCATCATCTTTACAAAATCTTGCAATTACCTGCACTGCAAAAAATGCTATTCTTGCTTAGATTTTTTGTCTTGTTTCTAGTCTAAATATCTAAAATTTCTTATATCAAGAAGCATTTTCTAGACAAGCATAACATACTGTTTTGTTTTGAGAAATAATATGCCAATATTAAGTGAGTTTTTCCTTAAAA